CCCACCCTCTACAATACCAGCTGAACCCCTTTACCCCATTGATGATATACGTAAAATGAAGGTCTTTTATACAACATTTTCATGGTACATGTGATTCTGGTATTGGGTTATCATATCTTTGTCCTCTGCTTTTACTACAACGCGTGTTACGAAATGTCTATGATGCATGATTATTATTGCTGAGGATCGTTCTTTTTATGTAAATGTTGACCAATTGCCCTCCTTTCGATATACCATTAGCTATTCTTCTAATTTGCGCTTTACGAACAAGGGAAAAGTACCATGATGTCGTGTGCATGTAGACTTTGTATATTTAGGATCAAGGATTCAAAGGTATACGTTGGAGGATTGTATACCGCAACAAGAACAATGGAAACGTCCATCCATCATCACGTTACTAATAAAGATTGGGATTGGAAGTCTCGGATGATTGCATTGGATGGATTCATGATCATTGTAAGGTTTTGGCAATAATGTATGCAGGTTTCGATACAGTGACGAAGATCGCTAGTAGTACATAATTCATGGATTGAAAAACACACGCTGTCAACAAGATCTCAGCTTTGGATATCCAAGGTAATACCATATCGGGACAAAAGATTTATCCTAGCATGAATGAATACGTATTGTGCCAGGTTGATTAAGCCTACAGTGATACGAACCTGAACGTGGACAATGATCGACCATGAATGACTGGAGGTGCGTGGACGTTCTTGTGGGACGGGAAATGTTGCATAAAAATCTCGCTTCATTTCGAGAGATGACAACATGTATCTTATCATGCTGTGCTCACCTTGTAGGTATATCTTCTTATGATTTGTACTTGGCTGCGCGTGCCTATAAACGCAACATTTCTAAGAGCTATCGCAATTTGGTTGTGTTGTAATACATTTCAATCCACATGCCAGGCTATGGATCATAAAGTCGGTGTATACATTCATGATGCCATTCGCAGATCCACATCGGGAATGATCTTGTGTCATGCAAATATACCAGGACATCCAGAGCGTTGGGTATGTAACACAAGAGGCTCTTGCGAGCGGGCCAAGATGAATGGCGTGATACAAAATGATAGGCCAACGTTGCCACTTGCGGGTATTTGCTCATTTGGAAGAACGCCGATTGGCCTGAGCCTTTTAGATGTCTTGAGTAAGATATCGGCTAGAGTAAAGAGTCCTTTGAACAAGTCATGTGACAACCAAACAAGCAACGTGTGCATGGCGTAACATTACGATCATTGCGTCATATACTACGTATCTCTACGCTATAAAGATGAATATAGTAATCATGCAGCAGCGATCCATTAGATGTACAATAGGGTGTCAGTGAAAGATAAAGTAACATGTTGTATACCGATTCTTACTGTGCCATGTGCTAGGTTGCTCAGCGTATTCAACCAATCAATGTGGGGTTGAAAGGGCAAGTTTGATTATTAAACATGGTCGCACAAAAAAGAGATGAATAACATTGACAACAAGGTGATGGTATGGCTTTATTGTATGAGCATAATGGGAAAAGATGACGATGATCATGTTATTCTATCGAGGATGAAGAAATAGAAAAGGCTTCAATGTTGAATAGCAACCGTGACTATGGCAACCAGGTTGTATGATGATGATTCCTGCAAGGATGGTTGGTTGGATGGATAAAGTGCACATCATCTCTATTGATGATCTTGGGTAAGGATTGTGAATCCGCTAGAGTGAGGATGACCAATGAAAGTAATGGGAAATTGTGTGCTTGATCTCGCATATGAGATCGTTTCAAGCGGACCCGGACTTTTTTTTTGTGTGTTTTTTGTAACAAAAGGTGGTCTGCCAAACTTTTGCATCACATTCTCTTTCGTGAAAGAAAGGCTCGGACGGATCATCATCAGCCTTTTTTGACAGCAAAACCCCCTCCTCTTTATTTCCATCTTCTCTTCATTGTTTATATTTCTCTACCTTTGCTGCTGTATTATATCTGCATATACAACACATCATGGCATCTACCCAACACGTCGACGTCCGACACCTTTCAGCTTCTTCCCTTATTGCAGCCGTGCCACAGCTCTTTCAACTTGCAAGTAGCCGTACTCCAGCAGTGGTGAATGTCTCTGCAGGCCATCAATCCTCCGACGCTATTGCCCAAGTGATGGCTGTGAGCCAAAGTGGTCTTGCTTTGTTGTGTTCCACCACTGACCAAGAAGCACGCGATCTCGCCACCATTGCTACCGTTGCAGCCATCAAGACACGCACACCATTCCTTCATTTCCACGACACCACCGGCTCTTCCATTGAAGCTGACAATACCATTGTACGCAAGCTTGTCACCGATGAGGAATTGGAGGCTCTCAAGACACAGCAGGAACAACAACAACAACCACAATCAGCAGCACAAACAGCCTATCTTCGATACAAGTCAAGCAAGCCTGAGGATGCATTGGATGTGTTTGCTTCATTGAAGGAGGTGTTTGCTTCGTTTGCTTCAACAACGGGTCGAGAATACGCTGCGTTTTCTTATGTGGGAGATGCTGATGCTGAACATGTGGTTGTATCCATGGGTGCAGCTGCTGATGCTGTTGAGCAACGTATCAAAAAGAATGGTGCTGCCAAGGTGGGCGTCCTCAAGATTCGTGTGTATCGTCCTTTCTCTGCATCCGAATTATTCAGTCAAATTCCCAAATCGGTCAAGCGCATCGCTGTGTTGGAACCCCAGGATTTCACTGCTTCGTGGAACCCTGTGTTTTTGGAAGTGGCTGCTGCATACCAAGTGGCAGGTGATGAAGAGGTGGACATTGTGAGTGCTCAATACGCTTCTCTTGTCAATGAAGCTGCTGTGGATGCCGTATTGGATCAACTCAACAAGGCTCAAGTGGAACGTCGTTTTGTTGTTGGTGAACCTGCTGCTGCTGCTGCTGCTTCAAAGACCTCTGCCAATGCACAAGAACCCGTGGAGACACCTTATATCAAGATGCTCGACCAAGTATTCCAAGATCGTCTTGAGATTGCCAATGCTGTCAACAGTGCCTCGATTTGGTCTCCTGATGCTTCCAAGCCCGAAACGGCTACTCCCGAATATGGTTTCGGCAAGTTGATCAACAAGATCCAAGAACGTGCTCGTTTCATTGATGCTGTGGAAAAGGCTGTCAAGGACACTTCTCTTACCGTGGATGCTCAAAAGTCCTTGTCCCAATGGTTATTGCTCGCCAAGTCCAACAAGCACCAGCCTGAACAAGTGGATGCCGCTGCTGTTGCTGCTGTACAGGCTTTGGAGGGTGATGACAAGGCCAAGGCTTTGTTGGCACAAAAGGATCTTCTCAAGGCCAAATCCAATTGGTTGATCGGTTCCGATTCTTGGGCTTATGATTTGGGTCAATCGGGTGTTCATCATGTTATCACTTCAGGCGAGAATGTTAACATGTTGATTGTGGATACCACTCCTTATTCGTCACCTGTTGAAAAGGAGAACCGCAAGAAGGATATTGGCTTGTATGCTATGAACTTTGGCTCGGTGTATGTTGCTTCGGTGGCTATCTATTCTTCCTACACTGGTGTCTTGCATGCTTTGCTTGAGGCTGATGCCTACAAGGGTCCTTCCATTGTCATTGCCTATTTGCCAAAGGCCGAAGAACGCAGCTCGTTGGAGACTCTCAAGGAAACCAAGGTGTCCGTTGATAATGGTTCTTGGCCACTCTACCGTTGGAATCCCGCTCTTGAAGCTGAAAACAAGGAGCCTTTCACTTTGGATTCTCAACGTATCAAGAAGGATCTTGAAGATTTCCTCAAGCGTGAAAATCATCTTACTCAATTGGTTGCTCAAAATCCTGATATTGCCAATGCTCTTGTAAGCTCTTTGGAATCGGTAAGTAAATTCAATACATATACATTTATGTGGTGGAATGACATGATCACTCATATTTATTTATTTTTAACAGGATGTCAAGAAGCGCCATGATGCATTGAAGGCAAAGGCACGTGATGATTATGCAAAGTTGTTGGCTGGTCTTTCTGGCAATGCCAATGGTCCTCCTCTTCTTGTTCTCTTTGGTTCCGACAATGGCAATGCTGAAGGTCTTGCAAAGAAGATTGCTACTCGTGGCAAGTCTCGTGGTCTTAAGACCAAGTTGATGGCTATGGATGATTATGGAGACATTCAAGACTTGGCTGGCGAGACCAATGTTGCTATTATTTGCTCTACTGCAGGTCAAGGTGAGATGCCATCCAACGCTCGTGAATTCTGGAAGGCATTGAACGGCTTGAATGTTGGCGATATCAACTTGGGTGATCTCAACTTTGCTGTGTTCGGTCTTGGTGACAGCCACTATTGGCCCCGTGAAGAGGATGCCATTTTCTACAACCGTCCTGGCAAGCAATTTGATGCCAAGCTTGAATTGTTGGGTGCCAACCGCCTTGTTGAACTTGGATTGGGTGATGATCAAGATGCTGATGGTTATGAAACTGGTTTCCAAGCATGGCAACCCGAGTTCTGGAAATCCCTTGGTGTCAAGGATGTGGGTGCTGAGGATGATGAGCCCAAGCTTACGGATGACCAAATGAAGATCGACTCCAACTACTTGCGTGGTACTATCGCTGAGGATCTCAAGGATGAGTCAACGGGTGCTATTTCCGAAATCAATGGCAAGCTTCTCAAGTTCCATGGTTCTTATGGCCAAGATGATCGTGACATTCGTGAGGAGCGCAAGAAGCAAGGTTTGGAGAAGGCTTACAGCTTCATGATTCGTGTTCGTATGCCTGGTGGTGTTGCTACTTCCGATCAATGGTTGGTGATGGATGAGCTTGCCGATCAATATGCCAATGGTGCTATCAAGTTGACCACTCGTCAAGCTTTCCAATTGCATGGTATCTTGAAGCGCAACCTTCGTTCAACCATCCGTGGTATCAACCACTCTTTGCTCAGCACTTTGGCTGCTTGTGGTGATGTCAACCGTAACATCATGGTTACTCCTGTCACTGAGATCCCTGAAATCCATGAGCAAGTTCAAAAGTTTGCCGATGATTTGATGCCTCGTTTGGCTCCCAAGACCAATGCTTATCACGAGATTTGGCTTGCTGATGAACCTGTGGCTGGCAATGCTGTTCAAGACTTTGAGCCCCTTTATGGTCCTACTTATTTGCCTCGCAAGTTCAAGATTGTCATTGCTGTTCCTCCCAACAACGATGTGGATATCTATGCTCACGATCTCGGTTTTGTGGCTATTGTTGAGGACAAGAAGGTGGTTGGTTACAACATCACTGTTGGTGGTGGTATGGGTACAACACACAGCAACAAAAAGACCTATCCTCGTCCTGCCTCGATGCTTGGTTTCGTTAAGCCCGAAGATGCATTTGCCGTTGCTGAAGCTGTGATGACTACTCAACGTGATCATGGTTGCCGTACCAACCGTAAGCATGCTCGTCTCAAATACACCATCGATGATTATGGCTTGGATTGGTTCAAGGGCGAAGTTGAGAAGCGTAGTGGTGTCACTTTTGAGCCTGAGCGTCCCTTCGAGTTCCGTGACAATGCTGATCGCTATGGCTGGATCAAGGGTGTTGGTGACAAGTGGCACTTTGGCATGTTTATCGAGAATGGCAAGGTGAAGGATTGGCCCGATTTCCCTGTCAAGACCGGTTTGCGCGAATTGGCCAAATGGCACAAGGGTGAATTCCGCCTTACTCCCAACCAACATTTGCTTATTGCCAATGTCCCTGAAGCTGACCTCGAAAAGACCAAGGCTCACCTTGCCAAGTACAAGATGGACAATATCCAATTCACTGGTTTGCGTTTGAATGCTATGGCTTGTGTTGCTCTTCCTACTTGTGGTCTTGCTATGGCTGAATCAGAAAGATACCTTCCCAAGCTCGTTGGTTTGCTTGAAGATAGTATGATTGAAGCTGGTCTTCGTGATGATGCCATCACCATCCGTATGACGGGTTGTCCCAACGGCTGTGCTCGTCCCTACTTGGCTGAATTGGCGTTCGTTGGCAAGTCCATGGGTCGATACAATCTCTTGCTTGGTGGTGGTCACAAGGGTGAACGTCTCAACAAGGTATACAAGGAATCCTTGAATGAGGAAGAGATTCTTGAAGAAGTCAAGCCCATGATCAAGCGATATGCCACTGAAAGGAATTCCGGTGAAGCATTTGGCGACTGGGTCATCCGAGCTGGCTATGTGAAGCCAACATTGTATGGTAGAGACTTCCACGATCAATAATTTAGCATTCCCATTTCCTTCCCACAACCCCCAAAAGACATCCGCACAACCCATATTATCTCTTATTAGTATCCCTGATCAACTTGTTAATAGCATTTGAGTTATTGTTGTACACATGTATATGTTTTATTATTGCCATGTGGGATGAGTAACTGGAGCGGGGTGATACAAGTGCATGGATAAGTATATGATCTTTGTTAAAGTGCACCACAGGGCTGTTTGCATTCAAGTAAGATATTATTACGGTATGACGATTTGATGTTGCTGTGACGTTGCTATGCTCATAGCATGTAACCACAAAGGTGTTGTCAACAGCTGTCAATCTGCTTTTGTGTTTGTGTATAGCTGGTGCCACCAACGTAGCAACCAAAGCATTATGATGCATGTTGCTATGATCCTTTTTCTCTTTCGATATCATAAAACCATACCTCCAATGCCACCAAAGTGGGTGTAAATGATGGCTGCAAGGTATATTTTTTTATTCTCTAGTGTCACGTGAAAACTCTCAATGAAGGCTATGGCGGTGGGGATGTATATTAAAGAAAATTCTCAGCTCTTTGTTTCTTGGTCGCTACTGTGGTAACCATGGACATGGCTTCATACCGTAAAAGCCAATGTAATCGGATAATGATACTTTTGGTAGGAGTAAGCGTGTGTGGCGTGGATTAACATTTGAATGCCTTTTTGTCACGAGCTACCACCAACAGCGAGTAGTACATACAATGGGTTGCGTTGATTGAATTTGTTGCTATTGGTTCATTCTTTTATGGAAGCGTTTGAAATAGAACCTTTAATATACTGGACGTGGTTTCAAGGACCAAGGATGAGACCGCACCAATTCAAGCATGGGCTATTTTCTAAAATGGCGGGTAAGAAAGTTTGGGAACACAAGGCTGATGCTGTGGTTGGTTTTCTTTCAGGTGGGCTTGTGTGAGATGATCACCATCAGCAGCAGCAGCAGGCACATACGTAAACAAGTAGGGCTATCTTAAACAGCCGATCTAACCTTATATGGATACATGTATCCCCAAAGCTGTGCGTTGTTGCCTTGGACTCTCCCCCCCTTCTTTCTCCACAGCACCCAGTAGAGTAGCAGTCGTGTGTTTATATGCAAAGTATTGGCCACAATAAAAACATCACGTTTCCAATATGCATTCAAATGACTCGTTTAGAAATCTCTTTTATGTATTATTGTAAATCATTTAGATGGGGGAAAGGGAATGGATGGGGGGGAAAAGGAGTTTTGCTTACAAAGTATGAATGGAATATTAGAGTCGACACAATATCAGTTAGGCTAATCTTCACTCTCACTCTCTTATAATCATCCCCATTGATGATATCCTTTGAATGAGATGGAGGGGTGGATCTTACCTTTTGAACAAAGAGAAATAAAAATAGTTGAATGAATGAATGAATGAATTGGATTGATTGTGTGTTAGATATCCAGGCAGGCAGGCAGGCAGGCATGCGTGCGTGCGTGTCGTGTGTGTGGGTGTGTTGTGTGTGGCAATCTCCGTTAAAGTGCGCCCACCAGATTTTGGTTGCGAAACGCTGAACAAGAAAAATTGAATTTGATAGAGGGAGAGAGAAAAACATTTTGCTTTCCTACCTCTCTTTTTTTCTTGTTTAGTCGACACAGAGGTGGTTTGCACTGTTTGGAGCCTTCTCGTTTGCTCTTTCACGATCAGCTCATAGAAACGGAGTCTTTGTCATAATCGCACCTACTCAGTTGCCTTTTGATCGGTACGTCTTTCGGAGTCAATCAACAGGGTACACCATGATGGAGAGAATGGGAGAGAGTGGGGGAGGTGGGCCATGGAGGAGTGAGAGATGGGTCCATGCCGAACACAACCTGGCCGTCAGTAGTCGATTGTCGTCCAGTCCGCCCCATCGTCCAAAGGAAGCTTCAGGCACAGCAGCCAGCTGGTGACACCAAGAGCCATGAGCAAATGACCACAATGAAGGAGACGACAAGAGATGACAACGGCTTTTTTATCACTTTGGTTGTTATATGGAACGACGAGTTGAGAGAAATGGGTGGCACAGTTGCAGTGTGCAACATGCAAAAGAGAGGAAGAGGAGGAGTTGGTTGGGGGTGGATGAATGGGATATGATGTTGTTGATGATGACGAGATACTCACACACGCACTCTCTCTCTCACTCTTTTGTATTATAGAGGAATAGCGGTACTGGTCGGACTATACGTTCTCGAGAGCATCCTCCCTCCTTCATCAAAATGACGCATCCTCAAGATATGTTCCAGAATTATATGGCATCTCCTGGTTACCAAATGACACCAGAACAGGAGCAACAACAACAACAACAACACTTTTCTCCACATGCCACTCCGCCCTCTCAACAACCAATGCATCCTGGTCTTGCCAACATGCACAATACACCTCAAGCAGCAGCCTTCTCCCCATCAGCAGGTTTCCCTGTTCAAATGTATCCACCGCAATTTACACCACAACAACAGCAGCAGCAACAACAACAACCATCTCCACAGCAACAGCAGCAGCAGCAGCATCATCATCATCATCAGCAGCAGATGAATTTTGCAGCTGCTCAAGGAATGCATTTTCCACCAAATCAAAACATGCGTTTTCCTCCAGGTCAAATCCCTTTTCAACGCCCTCCACCACCACAGCAGCAGCAACAACAACAACCCGTCATGAATCCAAATGCACCTCCACCACCTCATCCTGGCATGATGTATAATAATCCAGCAGCTTTTATGCAGCAACACCCTCAACAGGCAATGCATCAACAAGGCATGCGTCCAATGCCTAATCCTCAATTCATCAACACCTTCTCCAGGTCACCTAATGGTTATCCAATGCAGGCTGTAGCTGCTTCAAGCCCCATAAACCCATATCAACAACAACAAATGCAGCAACAAATGTACCATCAACAGCAGCAGCAACATCAGTTCATGCACGCTAGACCACCTACGCCACAACAATATCAACACCAGATCCAGATCCAGATGCAGCAACACCATCACCAACAGCCACATCAACAGCCACCACAGCCACAAGCACCTCCTCGCCCTCGACGTGCCGCTCGCAACACAAAGAAAAAGGTCACTTATGAGGAATCATCTGAAGATGAAGAAGACTTGGTAAGTTCCCCCCCCCACCCCATTCACTTAAATCATACATTGTATCTCACACTCACACATAAATGAAATTAGTCTTTCCTCGAAGAGATGGATCAAGGCGATGATAGTGATTTTGAGGATGGTGATGATTATGGTTCCAAGAAGAAAAAGAACAAGGCTCAGGCCATGCCAGAACCTGAAGAAACCGTTTTTATCCCCATTGGCACCAAGGTTTTCGAAAAGATTCTTGATTATCGAACCAATGATGAGACACAAGAAGAAGAATTGCTTGTCAAGTACAAGGTAAGGAGGAAATGAAACATGAATGATGATCTTGGATCCCTAATCTATGTCTCTTTCTCATATAGAATATGAGTTATCATCATATCGAATGGGTACCTCTTGAACAAATTGAAGGAGAGCATTTGGGCAAGCATCGTGTCAAGAAGTTTTTGAAAAAGTGGCATGAAGATGGTCAACGAGGTGAAGATTTCCGTGATTACCTAAAGGTTTGTGTGTTTTTGGTATACACAAAGAAAAGTAATACTTACACGTGGGTATAGGTGGATCGTGTGATTGACGAAGGTGAATTGACCGATCCTCTCACCGATGAGAACAAGATCTACTTTTTGGTAAAGTGGAATGGCCTGTTTTATGATTCAAGTACATGGGAAACCGAAGATGATCTTCGTCAGGTTGGTAGATAGATGGATGGAACGGGTTTATGATGTATTCGAGCTAATTTTCTTGTTGCATAGATCGATGCGGTCAAGATTGATGAATTCCACGCACGACGTCAAATTCCACAACACAAGCTTGTCAATCCTCCACCACGACCTATTCCCATGGTGACACCTTTTACCCACTATGATCGCTCTCCCATGTAAGTCAAACTCACATGATTTAAATGGATCTATATATATCCTAATCCTTGTGCACCTAGGTATCGTTTTGGCAATGAGCTTAGATCATATCAGCTTGAAGGTCTCAATTGGCTCCGATTTTGTTATTACAACTATCGCTCTTGTATTCTTGCTGATGAAATGGGTTTGGGCAAGACCGTGCAATCCGTGGCCCTGTTGAACGACATTTATCATAATCTCTGCATCCGTGGTCCATTTTTAATTGTGGCACCCTTGTCAAGTAGGTGTCTCTCCTAGCTTTTGATCTTTACATGTTTCCTAATCATGATTGCCAATAGCTATTCCTCACTGGATTCGTGCTTTCAATGCTTGGACGGATTTGAACGTGATTGATTTCCGTGGCAGCAACCAAGCACGCAACTTGATTGTGGAAACCGAATTCCATTACAAGGACATGCAAGGAAATACCATCCCTAACCGATACAAGTTTGACGTGCTCATCACAACTTATGAGATGGTTAGTACAACATGCAATGCATGTGTGTGTGTGCCATTTGGATACTAATCCCATATTTAGGCATCTGCTAGTGCACATATTTTGCGTGAAATCCAATGGAAGAATGGTGTCTTTGATGAAGCTCACAGATTGAAGAATAAGGTACGTTGCTGTTGCGGCAATGGATGAAGTATTTGGAAAGGTTCAACTTATACTTTGATTTGAATAGCAATCCAAGGTGCTTGAGATCTTAAAGACCTTTTACATTGAGCACAAGCTTCTATTGACTGGCACTCCTTTGCAAAACAACCTTGACGAATTATACAGCTTGTTGAACTTTATGCAACCCGAAATCTTCAAGTATGTATCCATTGCTATGGTTGTATGTGGATGAAATTACTTACCACATTGTGCTATAGTGATGAGAAGTTATTCTTTGCAGAATTCGGCACCTTGCAGACAGCAGCCCAAGTCGAGAAACTTCAAGCTCTTTTGAAACCTATCATGTTGCGTCGTTTCAAGGAAGATGTTGAAAAGACAATTCCCATCAAGGAAGAAACCGTCATTGAAGTCGAGTTGACCACACCACAAAAGAAATGGTATCGTGCCATCCTTGAAAAGAACTTCAGCTTCCTCAAAAAGGGATCCAAGAGTAAGTAAATGGCTTGGGCAAGGGGGGTTAGCTATTTTGAATCTCCCAATGTTAACATGTAAATGACTTTTAGCCAACAAGGAGATGCCTCAGCTTCGAAATATCATGATGCAGCTTCGCAAGTGCTGTATCCATCCCTATCTTCTTGAAGGTGCAGAGGAAGTGATTCTTTCCGAATGCCACGCTGATGGTCCTCGTGAACAATTCAATTGTTTGGTTCAATCCTCGGGTAAATTGGTAAGTAGTATGCTTTCGTATTCTTGTAATGTAGGGATCTAACATGAGCATGATCCATAAACAGGTCTTGATTGACAAGCTTTTACGCAAATTGATCACTGGCAACCACAAGGTGTTGATTTTCTCCCAATTCACAAGGTAAAAGCAACACAACTATCACATAGGATGATGGAAGATGCTCATGTGCGTTATTCCATATAGCTGCTTGGATATCTTGGCCGATTATTTGCGTGGACGAAGCTATGCATACGAGCGTATTGATGGCAGTATTCCTGGTGATCAACGTCAAGCTGCTATTGATCGTTTCACAACACTTCCTATTGAAGAATCTTTTGTCTTTTTGCTTTGTACCAGAGCAGGTGGTGTTGGTATCAATTTGACGGTAAATATCTTTTATTTGCATTGGACATGGGGGATGAGATGAGCAAGCAACTAAATAGCGCTTCTATAGGCTGCCGATACATGTATTATCTTTGACAGCGATTGGAATCCACAAAACGATTTGCAAGCCCAAGCCCGTTGTCATCGTATTGGTCAAACTAAGCCGGTCCAAATCTATCGTTTGATTTGTCGCAACACCTATGAAAAGGATATGTTTGATCGCGCTGGTATCAAGCTTGGTTTGGATAAGGCTGTGATGCAACGTTCTGGAAACACCGTTCAAGATGAAGGAGGAGCAAACGGCAAACACGAGCTCACCAAGAAGGAGATTGAAGACTTGCTAAAGAAGGGTGCTTATGGTGCCGTGTTGGATGAGGAAGCAAGTACCCAATTCTGTGAGGAAGACATTGACCAGATTCTTGAGCGTCGTACACGTGTCATTCGTCACGAAGGCAATGAAAAGGGATCCGTTTTCTCCAAGGCTACCTTCTCTGCTGGTGAAGACAACATGGGTGTTGAGATCGATGACCCTGACTTTTGGGAGAAATGGGCAGCCAAGGCCAATATTGATGCTACTGAAGAAGTGGATGAAAACAACCTCATCGTGTATGAACCTCGTCGTCGTCGTGCCGTACAACGCTTTGGTAGCCGTCCTGCTGATGGATCCTATTCTTCGAACGACAATGCTGATGATTCGGATGCCTATGAGGAAGAACCTGAACGTGGAAGCAGTCGTCGACGTGATCAAATGCGCTTATGGAGCTTATCAGAAAAGACAAAGTACGAACGCAAGCTTATGATTTATGGCTATGGTCGTTGGGATTTGATGAAGCCACACTTCCCTCGTCGATCTGAAAAGGATCTCAAGGCTGTTACGCGAGCCCTTATGCGCAAGGTGGTTCCTACAATCGAGCGCAACAATGATGAAGATCGCAAACTTGTCGATGATATCGAATACATTCTTGAATCCGATTGCCGTGACGAGCCACGTGGTGATCGAACCGTGCCCTATTCGAATGCCAACAAGAAGCAAATTGCTGAATTCAGATCATTCCTATTGGAAGCACCTGCCGACTATATCGAGCACATTGAGCGAAAGGGACGCAATTTCTTGTTACGTATCCAAATGTTATACTTGATCCGTGACAAGATTATGCCTAAGCGTTGGGAGGATGCAAAGAAGCTTGAGATCCCCAAGGTTACCGGTTCTATTCCTGCACCATGGTGGGGTGCTGATGAAGACCGTGCTTTGTTGTTGGGTATCTGCAAGCATGGCTATCAGCAATATTTGGCAATGCGCAATGACCAGGAGTTTTGCTTTTATGGAAGAAAGTATGATGATAGTCGTGCCGGTGCATTGGAGGATGATGACGGTCCACCAGCATCGAATGGCAAAAAGGAAGACACACCTGAAGTTGACGATGACGACAAGGATTACAAACCAGCCGATGGTGATGATGAGCAAGTTTATGTATGGCCATCCAAGGCTGATATTGGCATGCGACTCCGCCGTATCATTGCAGCCTTCTTGCGTGAAAAAGCCAATGATGTTCGAAAGCGCAAGTTGCATGAGAAGGAAGCAAAGAAGGAACGTGATCGCAAATCAAGAATGCGTGAACGTGAATCTCGTCAACAACAACGTTTGAGAGCCAAGCAACAAGAAGCTGCCAACCGATGGTCCAAAAAGAATCGAGCTGACTTTTTAAAGACCATCTTATCGTTCGGTACAGAAACGGTGCCTGATGAGGCTGATGTGAGATGGGGTCGATTCAAGGAACTTGCAGGCTTGGAAAAGAAGACCGATGAATCACTCGACTTGTATTTGACAAAGTTCATTGCATCATGCAAAGAAGTGCTCAAGCATCACAAGCAAGAGGATGATGATAAGAAACCAAAGCAACAAGGTGACGATGCCGAAGCACCCACATCTACAAATGGCGATGGTGAGAATGCGGATGGCTCCACTTCACAATCACTTGCCAATCCTGATGCCGCTGCAGCTGCTGCTGACACTTCCAATGCTCATTCTCCAGCAGCAAATGATGATTCCGGTGATCATGACTATAACGGTGATGGCGATGTGGATGTCGATTTGGACCTTGTGCCATATGATAAGGCTCGACGTGCTCTTAAACGTATTGAGCAAATGAAGACGATCCGTGAACAAGTGATGGTAAACCCTGAGCTGGACTCATTGTTGGAGAAAGGACGAAAGACATCAGGATTGCCTGGGTAAGTAACAACATGCAATTGATGGAATGAATACATCTAACCTATTTTGCCGTTTTAGATGGTGGCAAGTGCCTTTACATGACAAGGGTCTTTTGCAAGGCATCTGCAAGCATGGTATTGGTCGCAATGATCTTTTGCTCAATGATCCAGAACTTCCATTTTTCGAGATCAAGCAGCGTGTGGTAGAGGAAGAATCCATTGAGGACCCTGAGGGAGAAGGTGCACCTACTGTGATTGAAAAATTGGCTTGGCCTCGTGATTTGGTTGTTGCACGACGTATTGATGCCTTGTGTGAGCAAGTGTTACGACCCAAACCACCACCCAAACGACCTGCCTCTAGCCGAAAACGGAAAAATCCCGATTCTTCCAAACAAGACAAGAAGCAAGGATCCAATAACGATGCCACAAAAGGAAATACAGCCAACAATGAGGAAGGGAAGGATGGTGATTATGATGAAGCACCCATGTCTTCACCTGTTTATGGCGGATACAGTGACAGTGGTGAAGATACCGATACGATGCTTGAGGAAGCTTCGCAAAGAATGAACAAGCGTTTCAAGAATCAACATGAGGAGGATGCGGAGGAGGAGGAAGAGGTACCTAGTGAACCCAATACGACTGCAAGCGCTGGCGCTGTTCCACCACCACCCGAACCATCCAATGAATCAAGTCATGCACAAGAGGTGCCCACTATTGCTGCTACTGCTGCTACAGCCGCAACAGGGGATAATAACTCATCGGATGATGACATGACTGATTCTGAAGAAGAAGGTGAAGATACGCCCATGGTCCCATCTGGCAACTTTTGATGATTTTCTTTGTGTATTATAGACTCGCTTTACTTTCTCCCTCCCCTTTTTTCCCCTGTTTCTCTTTTTCTTTTTTTTACCTTTCATTCTTCCCTTTACAGTATTTTGCCCCTCACTATCTGCTGCTGCTGCTGCTGCTACAATCGGATACATTTTATACATAAAGCGCGAAAATTCAACTGTACAATTGTGCCTGAAAGCGTATCAAATGGTATGTATGCATGTGTTTATATTTAGATAATAGTGTTGGTACTATACAAAAGGTCTGCTTATAACACATAACGATAATCTGGATGTCTATCTCCTGCCATAGCAGGTCCACCGTAACGTAGCAACTCAAGATCCCTAGCATGGGCATTATTGGCAATCTTGTCCCTGCGACGATTTTCTCGAGCGAGCATAGTGCGTAACGTGAACACAATGACAGTTTGGGCAGCAAGACAAGCGAGTGCGATGGTGTTACCATGGGTATAATTAGGTGGATCATAATAGATTTGGCCGCCGAGGGCACCACCAGCCATACCAAAGGAGACGATCACGGCGGATGCAATAGCACGGCGAGTGTCGCCACCAAAATTGTTGCTGAACCATGATACTTTGGGTGGCACATTGCAGTAGACACCAATAACAACCAAGCATGCACCTGTATATTGGCCTGCTACTTGTTCAGGGGGAAGAAGGATAAGCACCAGGAAACCAATGATGCCAATAAGATTACATGCCATCATGTGGTAGGCTCTATCAAAAAATCGATCCGAGCTGTAGCTGACCAAGAGTGTGCCAACGAATGACAATACGTAAGGCGGCGTTGTAAGTGCTTGGGCTTGAGCATGTGACCACATGGTGCCTGTATTAGCAACTATGGAAGGCAAGAATAACGTCACACCTTGCAAAGCACATGTTCCCAACAAGTAAATCACCATGTATGCATAAAGTTTCCAATCCCGAAACACGGAAAATGCTGCTGCCCAAGAAAAAGGTACTTGGTCTTGTGAAGCGCCTGCGTCCTGCTCCAATCGTTCCTTTTCAAGCGTCCTTTCTTCCACTGTAAGAAATCTTGCACTTTCCACCTTGTCAGGAAGATACCATGCTGCGAATACTGCAAGGACAATGGATGGGATGCCTTCAAGAATAAAGAGCCTATGTATATAGTAGGGTGCATAGCTTAGTATGTGTACTATGGGGCTATGTATGTACCAGATTTACCATTGCCAACTATGTAATCGGTCTGTGGGTATTTGACTGATACTATTATTGCATGTGTGTGAGCCAAGAACGGAAACGTGATGAATTTGTAAAAGTCTTGTTTTGCTTACGCATATGCAAGGAGGCCACCAAAGGCTCCTGCAAGTGAAGAGAAGGAGAAAAAGAGCCCTGCACGACGTGCATATTCTTTCCGCATATACCAGATGCTAAGCACTACATATGGGTGGGATAAAACGGTAAATGGCGTGTCGTGATTTCCTTATTGTGTAAATTAGAAGCTTGGAATGCATACATACAGTAAATGACCCCTGGGAAAAAGCCTGGGAACCGGGAAAAGGGCCCACATGAAAGTTTTTGGATCAGTCAAATGGAATGTCAACTGCAAGTAAATTACTAGTCGTATTATTATTACCTGCTTCACATGCACCCAAAAGTAAACGACACACGACGATTCCAGCAAAATCATGACATGCAGCCATGCATGTTGCAATGATTCCCCATGCCCTACATACATGTTTTAACTATGCATCCAGAAAAAAAGTAGAGTGGATGGTCTTTTTTTTTACCCCATCAAGACACCAAGCCAAGTGGAAGGTCGCCATCGTCGCATCACGATATTGGATGGGACTTGCATAAAGATGTAACCAAAAAAGAAGATTGACAATGTCCATTGGTATTCAAAGTGACTGAGACCGAGATCTCGCTGCAAACCACCGAGCTTGGCGTTGCCAATGTTGGATCTAAAAAATGGGCTCGTGTCATTCATTTATGCCTATATAGGATAGCATTGACATGATCCATACCGGTCGAGAAAAGCCAAAAGATACATGAGTGATAATAAAGGGATCAATCGCCAATCCAATTTTCTAAAGCAAAATGGTCAATGATTTGTGCGATTGCAAGCGGCGGTGGATGTATAGTAAGTATACCTCAGCAGCCGTTTCTCAACAATAGCATTATTATCAGGGTTGGATTTTGTTTCGATTTCCATAGGAATCTTTTCCTTGTTGTCATGGGATGTGCTTGCTTTCATCATCATGAGAAGAAGGAGAAAGGAACAAGCGAAGAAGCAGGAATGGTAGAAAGAAACGATTTAACTCCATACATTTGCGCCTGCTGTATGCAAGTAAAATGTCCCCGAGCTGGTCACTAGTACATGCATGGATGTTAAGCTCGCAAGCAATTCTCCTTAATGTCGACTACGACTACTACTTACATATCAAGCGAGTGATTAAAGCAATGCTAGGGGACTTTTGGTTTACCCGCTACAATCAACATGTGATTTTCCAAGCTTATGTCAAATGCAAGCAGTTGGATGGTGGTGGAATAAGATGGGAGAGTCGGGGATGATGTGGCACTACGATTTATGGTAAGATTCACCTTGTCAGCGGCAAACCTCTTTAGAGTGGGACGCACACAAAGGCACACTGATAAATACATAACTAAGCAGCAAACAAATTTGTTCTTTATTCCTATCTCTTCAACATGTTCTGGAGCGGGCAGCACTTTGAGTTTTCAGACATTCCTGACATGACCGGCAAAGTCGCCATCATTACGGGCAGCAACACTGGGGTACGCATCGGGTCAATCGAGTTGCCATCATAGCCATTGTACAACACATGGACTTGGGGCTAACCTGGTATTTCCTTTTGCATATAGATTGGCAAGGTGTGTGCGATACAAATGGCCAAAAAGAACTGTCATATGTACGTTTTTGCATAAGAGAGGTGGCGCGCGCGATGAGCCACACGACGTGATACAAAGATGGAGGTTCCTAATTCTCGGATTACTATTAGTGTCGTGGCATGTCGCAATACCGAAAAGGGTCAAAAGGTGGTGGATGAGATCAAGGCGATCACTGGCAAGGACGACAGTGCACGTTGTATGAAGTTGGATCTCTTGTCGCTTGCAGCTGTCAAAGAATTTGCCGACGAATTTACAGCAAAGTACGATACACTGCATTGTTTGATGAACAACGCCGGTGTCATGAATTGTCCCTATGGCCTATCCAAAGATGGTAAACGTCATATCAACGCGCGCCGCCTTTTCTTTTAGAGTTGATCTCATGACACACACTCTCTTCTTCTTTAGGTCTCGAGATGCAATTTGCAACCAATCACGTGGCACACTATTACTTGACCATGCTTCTTTTACCAGTGCTCGAGAAATCTGCTCCTAGTCGCATTGTCAACGTGAGCTCCCATGCACACTACATGACTTGGGTGGCAGGCATCAACTATGATACATTGCATGATGAAAAATGCTACAGCCGTTTCCTCCATTATGGTAAATCAAAGGCAAGTAAAAGAGGAGGATCAGGTGTTGTTTGTGGACCATATTGACATTCTACGTACATGGTATAGGCTGCCAACATTCTGTTTACTCGCGAGCTAGCCAAACGTCTCAAGGACAAAGGTGTTAATAATGTAAGTAATCGGCTGGCAGATCTCTTTTTTGTCATATCAGCTGACAATGGTTACAGGTGTATGTCAATACAAATCATCCAGGCGCTGTGCAAACAGAACTCCATCGTCATGGCAACCTTATTACGCGTGATGCTGTCAGCCCCTTTTTTATTACACCCGAGCTTGGTGCATTGACACAGCTATATCTTGCAACCAGTCCCGATGTGGAGACAAAGGATATCAAGGGTCAATACTATGTATGCCATTGTGGGGGGGGGTTCCAAGGTCAAGTGACTAATGTCGCTTTTGTTGTAGGTGCCGTATGCTAAGCCAAGCACGCCCAACTACTATTGTCGATCCGACAAGAACGCCAAAGAACTCTGGGACTATACTGAAAAGCTCTTGAAAGAAAAAGTACCTGGTTACCAAGGCTCCCATCTATAGCTTATCTTATTGGTTACCATCTTAGTCATATGTAGTTTCGAATACCTTAATAAATTTGGGTGGTCTAAAATCATGCATCATCTGCAACAAACACAAAGCATACAAAATCCCCGCCGATCGACGATGATCACAATCATTGTTATCTTAAATCGGAAGCTCGTCTTTTGCCTCTCTTTCATCTAACATGTCAACTTTTATGAAACAGAAGCCTGCAGGCCGCTTTGTTCATCCAAATCCACGCAGCTACAAAGGACGTCTTGGCTATGCGTATGCTATCTTGTCCACTCTCCATCGTCGGAAAAGCTTCCAGGCTAATACGCTCCTTCTCCTAGATGTCTCAATACCATCCTCAGACATCAAAAGCCACCTGTATTTTGCTCAAGGACTTGCCGCATTGGTATAAAGAGGGTGTTCATGTAGTGCGTCATGGTTTCCTTACCATTATCTTAGAAACAATCCGGCAAAAAGGAATCGATTTTGTAAAGGAGCTTGCATTACAAGTAAGGTGTTATGGTATACTAGTATAGTCAATGTGGTAATACTGATATCATTGGGCTGCATAGAATGTGCGAGATCTATCAACGCTTATTGAATGGAATGAAGGTATATCCACAAAGCAAGGAGAGTTTAAAACAGGTTTTCACTGACAATGATGGCACAAACAAACATTGGCAGCTCACGGGATAAAATTCATGAGAATGTCAAGCGATATCTTTCCTTTTGCTGGTCACAAAGACTATGGGTGGGTGGATCAACACGGGGTAAGGAAGGGCTTACAACTAACCCATAGGGTATAGTTATTCTTTGGATTTTGCAAAGAGTGAGCTTGAATGCATCGGGGAACTAGCAGCAAAGTACAAACATCGCTTGGCAAGTAAAACTACTACCACCATCATCATCATCCTTCTAATCAGCCGTATAGACATTGCATCCTGGGCAATTTAACCAGCTTGGTTCTCCCAATCCCGATGTAGTAGAGAATACGATTCGTGATTTAAGCTGTGAGTAGTAGTATATCCAATCCACAGGTATTATGCATGTAACACTGACATCGACTTTTGAATACGTACGCAGATCATGCCGAGATGCTCGATTTAATGAAGCTCCCCCCTGATTCGATCATGATCATGTAAGCACATTATCACTTGAGGCGGCATCATCATCAATGGCTAATACAATGAGTAATTCAAAAGACACATGGGTGGCGTTTACGGTGATAAAGCATCGGCCATAGCTGCAAGTATCCTTCATACATACTCGATGTTTGCATTTAAAAGCTGACACCCATTTTTATGTAGCGATTTGAAGAGAACTACAAGAATCTAACCGATGCTATCAAGAAGCGATTGGTGCTGGAAAATGATGAACTTGGGTATTCTGTCACGGATCTACTTCCAGTGTGCCAACGACTTGGTATTCCTTTGGTGCTTGATTGGTAACGTAGCATTAGGAATACACCTGAAAGTGCATGCTTGAGCTAACATCCATCGTCTGTAGGCATCATCACGAGTATGTAGCTGGCCATGTATTGAGTCAATCTTGATACATTATTCATCCTATTGATATACCTTTAGCATCAATCCTGGTGAAGCATCTGAAACGTTATTGGATCTTTTGCCTGCCATCAATGAAACATGGCATCGCAAAGGCATTAAACCAAAGGTAGTCAATAAGTCAAGGTTAAAAACGCATATTTAATGGGTATACATATAGCAACACTATTCAGAATCTCGGCCTGGTGCAGTATCTGCAGTCGAACGGCGAGCTCACAGTGATAGGTAAACGTCATTGAATTCATTCTAGTACGTTTGTTGCTCACAGTGATCCTTGTAGGGTTATGGTAAAAGGCTGTCATACGAGGCGCGTGTGTGTGTTGAGGATGCTAAATGTCTTTTGATTAGAATCTACCTCCTTCAAGCGATGACGTGGATTTGATGATTGAAGCAAAGGAAAAAGGTACACGGATACGATGGGTTGATACAAAGTAGAGTGGATCTGACCATGAAAGAGTAGAGCAAGCAGTATTTCAATTGTACAAGTTGTTTGATCTATACCCTGTGGATGATGATGTGTGGATTGCCAACAAGAAGATAATCCCAAAGTCAGTCAAAGCGAACAAGCGAAAGAAAGCTGTTGCGGTTAAAGTACAAGATGACGCTATTGTGGAGGAGAATACCATTGTGGAAGAAGAAGAAGAAATGATTATTGGAATGAGGACTCGCAGCCGGTCCCGAAAGAAGACAAAGAAAACATAGACATGCACAATAATGACGCTGTATTGGTTTAAATCCTTCTTTGTGTATGATGAACAAGGGGCATATTGATTGATTGATTGTTGATGTGAATGAATAAGAGAATGATGGACAAATTATGATGCGATAGTGGTAGTAGTCGTGGTAGTAGTTGCTTTTTTCTCTTCCTCTTGCAAGGCTTCTTCCAGTGGAGTGGCAGCCTATACGACAATGAATACCATTACTAGCACAACCCTCTTTCCTACAACACTTACTTGAACAAAGTCATCCAAAAGCTTGTCAAAGCGATCCAACTTTTCTTGAGCCTTGCGGTTCTCTCGTATCAGAGCCAAACGTTCAGCTTGAAGCTTCTCTTGTTGTTCTCGTAAACTATCCAAATGATAAGATTTCCCATACATGTATATACCCTATTCCTATACCTTGTTCGTTCCAATTGTTCAAATTTGAGTCTGTTGATCATGAGCTGATGTGGATTATCTTGATTCTCCAAGTATTCTTTGGGTGCACGTGCATGGAACTCTTCGATGGGGACCAATTCCACATCTTGATATAATGATCTATGTTGCGTATAAGTATCATCCTCCATCGTACTTGTTGCCATGGAAACTTTACCGAAAAGCTCTGCATTTGACGATCTCTTCTAAAAGATGGCGCTTTTCGTACATGACGTTCTGCAAGCCGATATGCTTTTCATCCATAGCCGATTTTGCGTTGGCTGTTTCTTGTTTGCTATCTCGTGTAGCCGCATACATGGATGAATGTAGATCATACAACGTATCCAGCGTATCCAAGAGCTCTTGGCCGTCGTCAGGTATGGGCTCTCCCTATATATCGTGTATGTGTTGGTGACCACTACAGATCCATCTTGCTGCATGAGGAATCGAGACTGTTTTACCGTTTGCTTGAGCTGCATGTAACTGCTGAGGAGATCCTGAGCATCTTTGGCTGTGGCGGCAATGGCTTGCAATTGGTGTGGTTGTGTGGTTGTTGGCATGTCGAGGTTGTTGGAGGGTGTCGTAGTAGCAGCTTTGTGAAAGAAGTGGAGAGTCAAAGTCTCCTCCGCCCCGCTTAAAAAACCACGACTACTCTTTCTCTTGGACTCTTGTGTGTACATGTTGATCTAGCCGCCATGACCGATAAATTACCACCCAATCTGCTCAAGTTGTTCGCTCCACGACCTCCATTACCATATGCACCACCTCTTGATAAAGAACCTGGAAAACGTACAGGCGCACGCATCACAGGCATTGCCGATTACCTGCCCATGCTCAAAAACTATGACCCCGATTACGTCCCCTGGAAGACTTTGGAAGAGAAACGCAAAGAAAGGGTAGGTCGACGACTGATCAAGACGCATACGTACATCTCCCTTAATACCTTCTTCATGGCATTGTAGGCAGAGAACAAAAAGAAACAAGCAGATGAGCGACTCGAAGCAGCGATCGCAACATGTATGTATAGTGGCGTGTAAAGAGACCTGATAGTCTCCAAGGAGTGGTTGTGTATACATGGAATGCTAAGTACATGTGTGTGTGTCTATTGTAGATGATCCTGAGAAAGATGAAAAGGTCCAAGGCAATCCTTTCAATACGCTGTTTATTGGTCGACTCAGTTACGATTTGCAAGAAGATGATTTGATGCGAGAGTTTGAACAATATGGTCCTGTGAAACATGTATGTGCTTTGATGAGGATGAAAACGCGTAAAGAAAGAGACTGACCATTTGGTATAGTTGCGATTGGTACGAACAGCCGATGGGAAATCACGTGGTTACGCATTCATTGAATATGAGAGAGAAAAAGATATGCGAGGTACGTACACACTTTTGACATGGGGTCATTGATTTATGGTAATGACTCATATGGGGTTGTTGTTGTTGTTTTCAAATGTAGCTGCATACAAGGATGCTGATGGCTTGAAGATGTTGGGACGCCGTATTCTTGTGGATGTTGAGCGTGGACGCACTGTTAAAGGTTGGAAACCACGTCGTCTCGGTGGTGGCCTTGGCAATGTACGAAATGGAGCTCCTGAAAAGCCTGCTGCACCTGAAAGATATTCATCATCTTACAGCAATGACCGTCGTGACCGTGGATATGGTGGTGGAAGTCGCTATGATGGAGGCTACCGTGGTTATAGTGGCGGTGGCGGTGGCAGTCGTGGCTACGGTGGCGGCGGTGGAGGAGGTGGAAGATATGGCGATGATAGGCGGAGGCCGCGTATGCGTTCGAGAAGTCCTCGTGGATATAGAGATCGCTATGGTGGCCGTGGTAGAGACCGATCCCGGGACCGAAGCCGTAGATATTAAATGCTGAACGACACAATAAACAAGGAGAGGTTACATGCGATCGCTTGTTTCTTTTGAGTGGAGGATTGCTTGTTTTGTATCGTATCGTAGCTAGATCCCTAATTGACCATGTATCATCAAATGCTTAATCAACCTATCGATCTACATTTATAAAGGTGAAAGAAGAAGAAAGAAGGAATTCTTTTTATTCAAATCAGATGAGTAGCCGCGTATACTTCAATGTTATTGTATATGATGGGGAAGTGTGGTGGATCTAGATCAAGAATTGAGACTAATCGGTTGTGTGTGGAGATCCCAGACCCTAAAAGTGATATGGTAACGTTGCACATTGAAATGCGAAAGAATAAAAATAGAGAACACAAGAGACTCCGTTTCCACCTTTACCAAAGATGAGTGCTGTAGCCGCAAGATCGCAACAAGACGACAATGGCGAACAACCGGTTGTGATGCAAGAATTGACCGAGAAACTTGACGCGGTCGCGTTCATTGAAGAAGAAAACCGTATGCACCCTTCCTTGCAGCTTGCTTCCACTGCCCTACGCAAAGGTCTCACTTCAGCTGAACTTACGGACGTTGTGCCGGCATCGCCTTCCACACCTACCAGCATCTCATCCTCATCCACGGAGGGAACTCGTCCTGAATCAGGCGCCAATGTCATTCTACTCAAACCTACAGACCTGAAAAGTATTGGCGAGAACACACTTGGGCCACGTGAACAAGAACATGCAGGTATACAATGGGCGATTTATATAGGAACGTTAACGGGTTAGCTGAACGATAGCATGGATAGATGAGGCTGTTTTACGAGGATTACGGCATCTCTTCAACAATCGATTCATGAGTGCAAAAACCTTATTTGAACAACGTGCTGACAGGTAAAAGGCTATCTCGGGCACTCGTAGTATGCATTGTTTATTTATGCGATCGATTTAGTGATCCACTCTATGCATTAGCTTTAAGCTGTATGGCTTTTTTAAAAGGTAAGGATATCCTATTGAAAGCGAATGGAATAAGGTATATGACTCACATGTATACGCTTCACAGCTGTGATGGTGAGAATTAGGAGAGAGAACCGCACGTGAAATGCAACCTGAGAAAATTAACTATTCCTGGCTTGGCAGACTTCGGCTGAAAACGATCAAACGATGGCACTGAATGCTCTCAATACAACTTACAGCATCGCAAAGGCACAACTTGAAGCAGCAAAGAGGACATCCAAAATATCCGATTACTTTTCAGGCTATTACAACTATATCCGTGGCAACCGATCAGGTAGCACGCCACCCGCTTCACCTTCAGTTACCACACCTCCCGCAACAACATCACCCAACCAGCAATTCCCATCCAATGGTGTCCTTCGTGCCCATGTCATCAAGGCCGAATGTTGTCTTTTGACAGCTGTACTACAATTGTTACAAGAATCGGTGATGAGCTACGTAAAATGTGGACTTAATTTGCGTCGAGGTACGAATATTTTACGTCAAGCAATGATGGCCATTGGCTCATGTTACACATAATTTCTTAGCCTACGTGAGCTACAGTTTTGTTTGGCAGCAATACAAAGCGATGGGTGACAATCATGCAAAGTACATGGACAGCGATACCGTATCAGGAGTACAATTCGGGTATGATTTTTGACCCTGTTGCCATGGCAACTACTAACCATTATAGCACATAGCATCGGATCGGTTCATCTTGTTCTTTCTGCTTTACCCGCCAAGATTCTTAAAGCCATTCAAGTACTGGGCTGGAAACCAGATAAGGAGCTTGGGTTTAGTTTACTAAAAGAGTGTGCCGAGAATAAGCGGATACGTGCACCTATGGCTACCGTCATGTAAGTTATCGAATCGCTATTCCAAACATGATGCTTATTTTGGTATGTACCCTACAGGCTTTTAGCATACTATGCAGCTGCAACTTCATTTGCACCACAAATCCTATCAGAAAAATACACCAACATAGCCATGGAGGTAAGACCAATATGCTTTTCAACGTATGATGATAGTATCTTAATCAAGTATCATGTACACATAGACTCTTCTCGAAGCACAACGTTATTATCCAAACTCTGCTCTCTACCTTTATTTTGCTGGGCGAATATCGCGTATTGCACTGGATCTCTCTTTATCGACACAATCGTTCCTATACGCAGCTGATATGACAAAGAAGGATTGGGCCGAAGTACCTGTAGCCAATGCATGCAGTTACGAGATGGCATTGAATCACATGATCACCGGCAATTGGGAACAGGCAGCATCCAGCTTTGAGACATTATGCAAACTAAAGTACTGGTCGCCGGCATTTTGCAAATACATGGAAGGTGCATGTCTTGAAATGATCCCTGGCAAACGTTCCGAAGCGATTCTTGCCTTTGCACAAGTCCCATCTCTCGTCGTCAAGAAATTAGGTGGTCGCATGGGGGACATGGATGCCTATGCATTACACAAGGTGCAAGCATTTCAGGAGAGAGGATATCAAGATATGGATTACTATGCACCTGCCCTTGAATTCTTATGCATCTGGAACTTGTTTCCATACATGACGCCCAAAGACCTTGAACAATGCCATCGCGTTGTCAGCCGAGCACTCGAATGCATCCAAATCCAGGAGCAAGAAGAGTATGATATCCGCAGTCAAGAATTGGCTCCCGAAACACCTCCACCCGATCATTTCGACCAACGTGCAGTGCTATTGCTCATCAAAGCATCCATTCAAAATGCTACAGGCATCTCAAGTGCTGAAAATACCATCCTTCTCAATTGGATTGTTGATCACAAGGACAATTTTGCATCTGATACCTGGGTTGTACCTTATGCGCTTTGGGAAGCGGGTGTAGCTGCATGGAACGTGTCAAATGGCAATCGCAGCCGATATCTATGGGAAATGGCACTTGAATTCTCTAAATACGACTTTGAATATCGATTGGCCGTGGTAAGTTGATTGGATCCTAAACGCCATTAGAGAGAAAGAGAAACACTAATTCATTGTCATTTCTACTAGCGGCTTAATCTGGCACTATCACACGCTGAAGAGCAAGGCTATACCGAACCCATCCCTCAACCTGTCGATGACAAGAAACGTTTCTCGGTCTCTTTACCAGCCATGGCTACCAAGACGAATGCTTAAATTCATGCAGCAATCACTCACTATTTATACTTTGCCCTTTATTGTACTGATATAATTCCCTTTTCCATGGCCTCTTTGTGTTTACCCTCGTTAGCAGCTACATTCTTATACACACTAAACAACAAATCCCGATCCAATACAAAAAACATCCATTTCAACATTGCCAATAAACATGGAAGTCTACGTCTATAACACACGATCTGGTTGGATACATAGCTGGGAAGGAAGAGGGAGATAAGGACAAATTGATAGGGTATATATAGATTGATTCTTGACCGCGCGCCTTCTGCCAAAGATACCAAGACAAAGGGTCAATGTACGTATCATCATGCTTGGGATATCGTGCTATCCATCATCATGAGTGTGAGTCATCCAATTATCTTTTGCATACTTTTTTCATCTTACCTTTGGCATCGACCAATGCAAGCGGGAGGATCCACACACCATGATTGTCTAATCATTGTATTGCTTCAAGCCTAGTAGCTTTTGTTTCCGCTTCTCTAATTGTCGATATTCATTTTCCAAGGAATCCAAGTCATGAATGCAATTGGCTTGCTCCACAAGTTGCTGGGTAACTGGAAACATTTGGATGTATGAGTATGGGGTGTGTGTGTGATTGATATAGATCCACATGTCCTCTTTTTTTTTACTTACCAGTCTTGAAATGATCTTGGGATGCTCTTAACGAAGGTGACACAAGTAACCCAAACCAATGCAGGGGATCACGAATCGTCGACTTTTTGGATTGGTGTTGCATCTCGAATTCATTGGTCTTCTTATTCTCATCTTGTACCCAATGGCCATTGCTGTTTGGCTCTCTTCGACGACGACGTATGGGACTATCGGTTGGCTGTTGTTGTGGTGGTGGTAGCTGTTGCTTGGATGATGATTTTGTACTGGTGGATGTCGATTCTTGTTGTTGTGGGGCGACTTTGATGGACGTAAAGCGTTCAGTGTCTTCCTCAACACGACTACAAGAGAATCAATATGCAACAATGAGTAAATGTTGCCAAAAGGGGACATGTGTGTATGTATGTGTGTGCACCAAGAACTTACATTTGAGAGGTAGCCTTCATACGCTCGTCATAATAACACTGTGAAATCTTGCCAGGCCCCATCGTATACTTTGCATGCGCCAAATGGAGGAAGCCCTGATACGATACAAGGTCAATCGTTTGCTATCAACCTAGGGCGATTACTTACTTGTTGAAATTGTCTACCGTTCTGTTGCCATCTCTGACTATACTCTTCTACTTTTTCCAGATACTTGAGAGAAAGCGAATCTAGCTGCTTGCAAACGGATTCAAGATCGTCGTCCAGCGATTCGGTCATGCGAGATAAAGGAAAGCGTTGAAAGGGTACGAGAGAGAGATAAAGAGAGGAAGAGAGAGAGAACCAAACGTACAAAGGAACAACAGGAGAAGGCTGAGAAAGGACTAATGCATGGCTTGCTATTCACAGCGGAAACCACTGACGTTGACCTATCAAATCCCTCGCATTTCCCTGAACCATTTAATCGTGAACGTTGCTCCCCTTTTAGTGACAACTCAATTATATCCCAATTGATGTAGAATGAAATCGGATCATTTATATAGAAACACAACCTTTACTTTAAAGCTAATAAAAGATGGCAGCACGTTTATTATTCTTCCATATAAAGACGAATCAAATCATCGGATGCCCTGAGATGATCCATGCGTTCGGTTATTTCAAGTAGCGATAGCTTGATGACAGATTCCAATAGCAAGAGCGACTTTTCTTCCATGCCGTTGGTGGTATTTTTCTTCTTGGCGACGTCTTTGCCATCCTTCTTCTTCTTCTTGTCCTCCTTGTCCTCCTCGTCGTCTTCATCTTCTTCTTCATCATCATTGGCATCACCATTTTTCCATATCTCAAGTGCGTACCAATCAGCTTCTTGAAGCTCGTCTCTTTCAATCTTAGGATCCTTCTCTTTGGCTTTGATCTGCGGACTAGAAGAAGCAGAATCCTTGTCTTCAGCTGATGGCGTTTTCTTTAGGACCTTGAGTACAAGCACAGCTTCACGAGAATCCTCCAAATTGAGTAACGTGCCACTCCGGGTATAATACATGCGCTTCAAATGCTCCATATCCAATGTCAAAGTATGTGGCTTCTCTCCTTCTTCATGAAATCGACCATCATCCAAGTCTTCAGTGATCACCAGCTTACGAGCAAAAGGGTCGTCGTCGTCGTCGCCTGCCTTTTGAATCACCAGCTGACATTTTGGATATTCTTCTTTCCATGACAACACACCTGATGCACTCGCTGCAAAGAGAGAGTACAATCGTAGATAAAACGGCTGAGATGGTGATGGCTGTTGTAGCACTGTTGATGCTTGTAAAAGGCGAGATAATGGCAAGGATGCCTTGCTGGGGATGTTGCGCAATGCAAGATACAATGATGGAACGGTGTCGTCAATGTGATTCAAAAGATGGCGTAGACGTTGTCGCACGTATTCATCCGTGTTGTTGGCTTTTGAATCCTGCATCTCATTTGCAAAGTCGTCAATCTCTCGCTGAAGGTCGTTGCACATCTCCAAAGCAGGTTGCAAATCCTGATTTCCATCAGCCACGCTATGGGCAATAACATCAATCGTGGGCTGCATACATATGCGTACATCAAATGAATACTTGATCTATCAGATGCCATCCATGATTATCATCCCCTACCTTCAAGTTTTTGATCTTGAGATCGAATTGTCGTTGCAATGAAGTGAGTTCCCGTGATGTTGTGTTGTCTTTTGGCTTTTGTTTTATGTATGTGGTCACTCCTCGCTAGGAATAGACGATCGCGTCAGTCATCTATTACATGTTGAAAGAGAGAATGAGAACTTACAATGGCAGCATTGGTAGCATGACTGATGGCAATGCGGGAGACGGTGTTGACCGTGGTCATGGCAAGTTTGCCAAAGAGATCCTCCAGAGACGACATTGGAGTTTGACAAGTAGCGAAATGAAACGAGTGGAAGAGTGATAAAATCGCGCAGCCCATTTCGAGCACAGACACATTTGCATAACGAAGACAAGGTGATACAGACCCTGCCTGCTACTCTTTAGACAATCATCATCGCATCATTTTACCTATTTCTCATGGATGAGTTCCAAAACCGATACAAAGAAATAAATCCCTTGATTAGGTCATGCTTCTTTGTAGTAGTGGGGTGGGGGGGGGGAACAAAGACGATTGATCTGATGCTCTCAGACAATGAGAACAAAGAGCATGCTTTATTTATCATATCGTATAATGAAAAGTTTACCTCTTACGCAAACAAAGAGCCATTTTGAATAATAAAAAGGATACTTGAAAGGCGCCATGTACGTGGAAACTATCCACTGCTTTGGTTCAAAAGTGAATGTTGGGTGTACAAGTAAACATAAAGGTTGTCCATGCACCCCTCCTGCAGCTGAGAAGCTACACATGACGATCACGGACATGGTTACTATAATAGAGATGGGTCCTTAACACTGCTTGTAATGAAGATAATGAAACCCAAATCCATCCTGGATACATACAACATACAACGATCGACTTGTGGTGATACGCCACTTCCCCAATGATGACCTCTTAATGTCACGATGCTGCTGCTAGTCGGCGTTTGCTGATAGAAGGTTAGCTGCTACCACCCATACATACGTACATACATTTTGACGCAGGCAACGTGCACTAATGTTGACCCCCTACATATCCTGGCATATAGTTCAGGATCCCATAAGTGTATAATACTGCTTGCTGTCATTGATGGTGGCGTGTATGTAAATAATTACTGCTGGATGATGATAACCCTACTTTGTAAGACAACACGATCTCGCTCGGGCTACTCAAATTATTATCAAGGGACGCGATGCAATCGACGGCATATAGCTGCGTTGACCATGGTCAAGCTTTAAGGGGGTCAAATCAAGTCCATGTGTCTAGACGAGCTATTGCATGATGAAACAAAGTCACTATGCTTTGATGAGCTATGCAAGATAACGCCCACCGGCTAGAGACCGATTGGATGCATTTCCCTCTCTAGATCATGAAACAACTTGAAAGAATACCACCCTGTTTCATCTGTAGTATTCATAAGATCAATCAAACATAGTCATACTAGATAGGGTGCTGAATTTGGTAAAGTGCTACGCTATCAAACAAGTCTACATCTTCCCACCTGTATGTAACGCGTCGTGATGGTGGTAGTATATAAAGCTGCAATGCAACGGAAATACGCTAGTTGTGATGCTGTAAACTTGAAGGACTACTATAATTAGGGTTCAATGCTCCACTGAAGACGCGCGATTTGCTTTATAAAGCACAGCACAAAAGTGCGATTAGGTTGCTACACATTCATCCTTTTAGTCTCTGTATCATCCTATATATTATCGTGGCGTATTGTGATAAGAATAATGGAAAAGTCGAGCCCTACGGATGTCGAAAATGAAAACAAGTAAGCTGTCACCCAATTTGATGTGTACGTCATTTATCTTTTGTTAATGACACCACGTCTACATTGATTATTAGGGATACTGTTAAGCATTTAGAGGATGGAAGTCAATCAGCCACTGAGACTGATATCAAGGAGAAAGGCGATAAGGGGCAGCAGCAACAACAAGAAGAACCATATGAAGGCTGGCGTAATCCTGGCTGGCGTACTGTATTGGGTTCGTTTTTGGTCAGCTTTTACTTATGGGGAGTAACTTATGGATGGGGTGTTTTCGAAGTCTTGTGAGTATACCTGGCGGGGATGCGCGAAAGGGATTATAATAGTGGTATTAACATTATCCAAATACAGGTACCTTGATATCTATCCCGAGGTGAGCAAGTTTTCCATGTCGTTTGTGGGCCCACTGGTCATCTCTATGACGTGTTGGATGGGACCCCTTTCACTTGGCTTCATCCAGCGTGTACAAAGTTATCGATTGGCATACTTTGCATCCGCCATCATTTGTCCTATTAGCCTTGTTTTGGCAAGTTTTGCTACACAATTTTGGCAAATAGCCCTTTGCCAAGGGATTGCCTTTGGTGCAGGTGGTGGATGTGCATACCTTGCATCATGTTTACTCCCAGCACAATGGTTTGTACGTAATAGGAGTCTCGCAAGTAGCATTGCAGTAGCCGGAGGAAGTGTGGGTCCTGTAGTGATATGCCCCATTATACAAGCAATGATTGATTCATCCCTTGGGTATCGTAATGCGCTTCGTGTGCTAGCTGTGATGGGATTTGTCATGCTTGGCTTATCAGCCATACTGACACAATCACCAACTCCTGTTAAGCGCAACCCTGACTGGTGGAAGATTGTGGATCGTCAAGCATTCTTCAATATGAAATACGGTTTTTGGGTGGTGGGAAATATTTTCATCACACTGGGATACTTTGCAGCATGCTTGTTGATACCGCTGTATTCAAAGTATATTGGAGCTAGCCCATCACTTGGCTCTGGATTGGTCTCGGTGAACTTTGCTGTCAATGGTGTCTCTCGTATCTTATTGGGCTACCTTGCTGATCGTTTTGGAGCAATCAACGTGCTCATTCTCACCTCTTTGTTCACAGGTACGTGCATGTTTTACATTTAATCACAAAAAACAACGATCATACAGGGTTATTAATGATGGAGATGGGATCTATGTAGGTGTCGTCATCATGATTGTGTGGCAATTCTCACAAAGTGTGGCTGTATACACCGTCTTTTGCATTCTTTTTGGAGCAACGGGTGGCACATTTCTCGGCCTGATGCCTTCATGTATTGCTCGCATCGCAGGGATGTCAATGATTGTAAAAGGCTTGTGCTTGTCATATATCATTTCAACAGTTGGCATTTTGTTTGGCGATCCTATTGCTGGAGCTCTTCTTTCCCAGTACAGCTGGACAGCAGCTATCCAATTTCTTGGAGCGGTTTACATAGCATCAAGCATTGTGACCTTTATCTCACGCACGATGATGGTTGATAAGCTCATAACCAAAGTATGAAAACAAGATGCCAGCATACGACGTAAAAAGTCATCCCCTTAACTGTAATCATTCAAAATGAGAAGCTTGTATGTCATGCCTCCCGCTTTTACTAATAAAATAATAAGTCATCTTACAATATCTAAATCTCAAAAAGAGGAACATGTGTTATGCATGACGGCGCTGCATTGACAAGGTCTAACCACAGAAAAGGGACATGAGTTTTACAATCCAATACAGCCATTGTTCAAGACATAATGAATCGATCATCAGACCCTTTCTCTTCCTATATCACAGCATTCAAGTGGATATAGAGTTCCACAATCCTGCATTAATCTTTCTATAATACAATGCATCAACAAGAATCTACACACAGCTCGATCCAACTCAAGAAGAAAGGATGGTCTCTTGCAATAAAAAGCTTAAGAAATGATTGCTCAACGGAATGCCGTATTCGTTAATCTTTAATCCAATGTCATCCACAAGGGGTAGGTAGTAAGTATTATGGGCAGGGGATTGAGATGTACAATGAACTGCTCTGATGGGGAAGATACATTGGCATGTCAAAACATGGGGTTGGATGACGATGGTTGACTATGGTTGACAGGTTGCACAACCGATGGTGATAATAGCTGCCATGCAAGGGTGTAAGAAGGTACAATGATTGGATGTACCAACCGTGCAGGATCATAGTAGCATCAAGCAAGCTGACAATGAATACATGCAAACAAAGGCCCCTTTTCAACGCGTTACATATATCCAAAGTCTTCCATCCCATGCCCAAAACCAATGTCCATATCCGTATCCATATCCATAGGAAGTCGTATGTATTGAGAGCAAGTTGCTACACGTAAATAAAGCTGCTTCTATACAACGGCTATCTGCTGTCCACGTAACGAAGGATGTAAGGCAAGTTGCTGCAAGTAACGAACGCTGTTCGAGACAATGGAGTAAAGATCTTGCTAATAGCAACTCTTGCAATGAACGCTGTTTTGTCTGATCGTGGTCGAGAATTGTACAAGAGAAGGTGAAGTGTTCAGAAACGCGGGCGTTGTAATGGAGTGCACATGCCATGCACTTGCCATTCAGTCAAAGACAATCGGATCAAGACAAATGTAGTGTTAACATGATGGGTTGAAAGCAGTACAATCGTTCGCAGGTAGTAGTTGTACTTTAATGGACGAGCAATTGAGAATGGGAGGAAGAGGCAAGAAGTGGGGAGCGGAAGAGCTGGAAATTAGGTAGACTTCTTTGTGTTGGATGATGTTTCTTTGTGTGTGCATTGCTCAATCAAATCCCCTCGGATCAAGAAAGTTGAATGATGGACATGCTGGGCTAGAGCAGGACAATCGTTCACATGCATTGTTTTGGGCAACAATGGAGAATGGGAGGAATGGGCTATTAGCTGGCAGTTTACAAATAACTTTGCAAAATGATTCTTCTGATATTGGATGATACTTCTGTGTTCGAGCGTTTTTCAGTCAAATCTTCTCGGATCATGAAAGTTAAAGGATGGAGATGCTGAACTGGAGCAGGACAATCATTCGTATGCATTGGATTGGACAACAAAGGTGAATGGGAGGAATGGGCTATTAGCCGGCAGTTTACAAATAACTTACCAATTGATTTGTCTGATGTTGGATGATACTTCTGTGTTTGAGCGTTTTTCAGTCAAATCATCTCGGATCAAGAAAGTTAAAGGATGGAGATGATGGGCTGGAGCAGGACAATCGTTCACATGCATTGGATTGGGCAACAAAGATGAATGGGATCAATGAGCTATCGGCTGCCAATTTACGACTATTCGTGTAATAGAGTACAAGTATCATGCCAATCATGCATAATAGGCTGAGTTACACAAAGAGGTCCTTCTGCATCTTTTGCTCTGCCAGGGTCCACGTACTTGACAATGAACAAAGACCACTTCTCATATAGCATCACGCTTACAAACATGAAGGTGCCTGTATCTCCACACTTTACAATGAAACGTGGGGCTTTGAATAGAGCAATGTGCTCGGCTTGGCCAACAGCACCTTGTGTGAAAGTTTCACGATCAAGCTTGCCAATCCCAGATTTCGCAATGTCGCTACCAGCCAAACTGGATCTGGGGGTCGACCTCTTCGACGATGATGACCAAAAAAATATTTTTGGGCTGTTTGCGACATTGAACGTGAAACTTTCGCACAAGGTGCTGTTGGCCAAG